TATCCAATACCAATTACCGTAATTACATATTAAGAAGTCCTTAATATCCAATGCCAATTACCCATAAAAAAGTCGTTAATATCCAATACCAATTACCATAATTACCCCTTAAAAAGTCCTTAATGTCCAATACAATTACTGTAATTACCCGTAAAATAGTCATTAATATCCAATACCAATTACCGTAATTACACATTAAAAGGTCCTTAACATCCAATACCAATTACCGTAATTTCACACCAAAAAGTCATTAATATCCAATGCCAATTGTCATAATTACCCGTCAAAAAGTCGTTACTATCCAACACCAATTACCATAATTACACATTAAAAAGCCATTAATATCCAATGCCAATTACCATATCCAACACCAATTACCATAATTACCCATAAAAAAGTCATTAATATCCAATACCAATTACCGTAATTACACATTAAGAAGTCCTTAATCCCCAATACAACTACCGTAATTACCCATAAAAACTCCCTCACTCTTCCCACTACGCTCAACGCGATTACCGTAATTACCCTAAAAAAAAACCCCTTAAAAAATTTTTTTCCCCCCAATTCTCGGGGTTTTTTTCTTTTCGGTCTCCGCAGTGGATGGTGAAGTCCAAGGTGATCAGCGAGCTGCAGGAGGCCTGCTGGGAGATGATGTCCTCCATGGCCAGCGACATCATCCTGCTGCTGGACTCGGACAACGACGGCATCCGCACGCACGCCATCAAGTTCGTGGAGGGGCTGATCGTGACGCTGTCGCCGCGCACGGCCGACTCCGACGTCCCCAAGCGGCACGAGAACGACGTCAGCCTGGAGCGCATCCCGCGGGACCACCCCGTCATCAAGTACAGTGAGTCTGGGGGCTTGGGATTTGGGGTCAGGAATGGGATGGGGACCAGCCCGTCATCAATACAGTGAGTCTGGGGGATTGGGGTTGGGGTTTGGGGTTTGGGGTCAGGAATGGGATCAGGATCACCCTGTCATCAATACAGTGAGTCTGGGGGCTTGGGGTTTGGGGTCAGGAATGGGATCGGGATCACCCTGTCATCAAGTACAGTGAGTCTGGGGGTTTGGGATTGGGGTTGGGGCTTGGGGTTTGGGATTGGGGTCAGGAATGGGATTGGGACCACCCCGTCATCAAGTGCAGTGAGTCTGGGGGCTTGGGGTTTGGGGTCAGGAATGGGATTGGGGTCCCCCCTTCATCAAATCCAGTGAGTGGGGGGGATTTGGGGTGGGATGACCCCACTGACCCTTTGACCTGGTGACCCCACTTGAGTTGGGGACCCCACTGACCCCCTGATTGGGACCCCGGTGACCTCCCCATGGGTTGGTGACCCCGGTGGGTGGGTGACCCCGCTGACCCCCAGCACGTGGGTGACCCCACTGTCCCTTGACATGTGGGTGACCCCAGTGCCCTCCCGGTGGGTGACCCCGCTGACCCCCAGCACGTGGGTGACCCCGCTGTCCCCCGACGTGTGGGTGACCCCGCTGCCCTCCCAGTGGGTGACCCCGCTGACCCCCAGCACGTGGGTGACCCCGCTGACCCCCAGCACGTGGGTGACCCCGCTGTCCCCGCTGTCCCCAGACGTGCTGTGGGAGGAGGGCAAGGCGGCGCTGGAGCAGCTGCTCAAGTTCATGGTGCACCCGGCCATCTCCAGCATCAACCTGACGGCCGCGCTCGGCTCGCTGGCCACCATCGCCCGCCAGCGGCCCATGTTCATGGCCGAGGTCATCCAGGCCTACGAGACCCTCCATGGTAATGTCCCCTGCTGTCCCCGAGGTGTCCCCTGGTGTCCCCTGCTGTCCCCTGGTGTCCCTGGTCACCCCATGTTCATGGCCGAGGTCATCCAGGCCTACGAGACCCTCCATGGTAACGTCCCCTGCTGTCCCCAAGTGTCCCCTGCTGTCCCCTGGTGTCCCCAAGTGCCCCCTGCTGTCCCCTGCTGTCCCCTGGTGTCCTTGGTCACCCCATGTTCATGGCCGAGGTCATCCAGGCCTACGAGACCCTCCATGGTAATGTCCCCTGGTGTCCCCAAGTGTCCCCTGCTGTCCCCTGCTGTCCCCTGGTGTCCTTGGTCACCCCATGTTCATGGCCGAGGTCATCCAGGCCTACGAGACCCTCCATGGTAACGTCCCCTGCTGTCCCCAAGTGTCCCCTGCTGTCCCCTGGTGTCCCTGGTCACCCCATGTTCATGGCCGAGGTCATCCAGGCCTACGAGACCCTCCATGGTAATGTCCCCTGCTGTCCCCGAGGTGTCCCCTGGTGTCCCCTGGTCACCCCATGTTCATGGCCAAGGTCATCCAGGCCTACAAGACTCTCCACAGTAATGTCCCCTGCTGTCCCCGAGGTGTCCCCTGGTGTCCCCTGGTCACCCCATGTTCATGGCCAAGGTCATCCAGGCCTACAAGACTCTCCACAGTAATGTCCCCTGGTGTCCCCGAGGTGTCCCCTGGTGTCCCCGAGGTGTCACCTGGTGTCCCTGAGGTGTCCCCAGGTGTCCCCAGCTGTCCTTAACCCCATGTCCCCTTTGTAGCCAACCTGCCTCCCACGCTGGCCAAGTCCCAGGTGTCCCCACGTGTCCCCAAGTGTCCCCAGGTGTCCCTAACCCCGTGTCCCCCCTCGTAGCCAACCTGCCCCTGACACTGGCCGTGTCCCAGCTGTCCCCAGCTGTCCCCAGGTGTCCCTAACCCCGTGTCCCCCCTCGTAGCCAACCTGCCCCTGACACTGGCCATGTCCCAGGTGTCCCCACGTGTCCCCAAGTGTCCCCAGCTGTCCCTAACCCCATGTCCCCTTTGTAGCCAACCTGCCCCTGACACTGGCCATGTCCCAGGTGTCCCCACGTGTCCCCAAGTGTCCCCAGCTGTCCCTAACCCCATGTCCCCTTTGTAGCCAACCTGCCTCCCACGCTGGCCAAGTCCCAGGTGAGCAGCGTGCGGAAGAACCTGAAGCTGCACCTGCTGAGCGTGCTGCGGCACCCGTCCTCGGGCGACTTCCAGCCGCAGATCACCACGCTGCTGGTGGACCTGGGCACGCCGCAGGCCGAGATCGCCCGCAGCATGCCCAGCCCCCGCGAGGCCCGCAAGCGGCCCCGCGACGAGCCCGACGCCGCCCTCAAGAAGATGAAGATTGGTGAGTGGGACATTGGTGACACTGGTGTCACCTCCCCGTGGTGGTATCGGGTGTGGTGGGTTCAGGGTGGGTGGTGGTGGCCATCAGAAATGGTCCCAGGATGAGCCTGATGCCGTCCTCAAGAAGATGAAGATCGGTGAGTGGGACATTGGTGACACTGGTGTCACCTCCCCGGTGATGGCATCAGGGATGTGGTGGGTTCATGGTGGGTGGTGGTGGCCATGGTGGCCATCAGGGTTCAGGGTGGTGGTGGTGGCCGTCCAGGACGGTCAGAAATGGCCCCAGGACAAGCCCAGTGATGCCCTCAAGAAGATGAAGATCGGTGAGTGTGACATTGGTGACACTGGTGTCACCTCCCCATGGTGGCATCAGGGATGTGGTGGGTTCAGGGTGGGTGGTGGTGGCCGTCAGAAATGGCCCCAGGACAAGCCCAGTGATGCCCTCAAGAAGATGAAGATCGGTGAGTTGGGACATTGGTGACATCATTGTCACCTCCCCGTGGTGGTATCAGGTGTGGTGGGTTCAGGGTGGGTGGTGGTGGCCATGGTGGCCATCAGGGGGTTCTGGAAATGGCCCCAGGACGAGCCCAGTGATGCCCTCAAGAAGATGAAGATCGGTGAGAACCCGTGGTGACACTGGTGTCACCTCCCCGTGGTGGCATCAGGGATGTGGTGGGTTCAGGGTGGGTGGTGCTGGCCATGGTGGCCATCAGGGGGTTCTGGAAGTGACCCCGTGACAAGCCCAATGCCAGCCTTGGGCTGTGGTGGCACTGGTGTCACCTCCCCTGTGGTGGCCATCAGGTCCCAGTGGCCTCATGGAGACGCTGGGGACAGTTGGTGACATTAAACTCCCCCAGGTCCCCCCGAGGACCTCCCAGTCCCTCCTGGTGACACTGGGCGAGGGGAGGTGACATTAAACATCCCTCAGGTCTTCTAGCAGGCCACCACCGGTGACCCTTTGCTGTCCCCAACTCCTGCTGGTGGCCCCTTGGGGACACTCAGGGACCTTCCCATGTCCCCTCAGAGCCACCCCTGGGTGAGGATGACGAGGACAAGGACCTGGAGGCGCCGGCGGTGGCCGTGGCCAAAGCGGCCGGAGCGGTCACTGTCCCCTCGGACACCGACATCACGGCCGAGTTCCTGCAGCCGCTGCTGACCCCCGAGAACGTGGCCAACCTGGTCAGGGAGGGGACATCGGCCTTGGGGACACTTGGGGGGGGTGTCATCTGTCCTGGAGTCACTGCTGACCCCCGAGAACGTGGCCAACCTGGTCAGGGAGGGGACATCGGCCTTGGGGACACTTTGGGGGGGTGTCACCTGTCCAGGAGTCACTGCTGACCCCAGGAATGTCCCCAACCTGGTCAGGGAGGGGACATAGGCCTTGGGGACACTTTGGGGGGGCGTCACCTGTCCTGGAGTCACTGCTGACCCCAGGAATGTCCCCAACCTGGTCAGGGAGGGGACATCGGCCTTGGGGACACTTTGGGGGGGGCTTTAAGGGCTGTTGGGGACACTCTGGGGGTCTCCAAGGCAGTTTTGGGGTCTCCAAGGCAATTTTGGGGTCTCCGAGGTGGTTTTGGGATCTCTGAGGTGGTTTTGGGATCTCTGAGATGATTTTGGGTTCCCTCAAGTGTTTTTGGGGTCTCCAAAGGCAGTTTTTGAGTCCCTGAGGTATTTTTGGGTTCCCTGAGATGACTTTGGGTTCCCCAAGGTGTTTTCGGGTTCCCAGAGCTGATTTTGGGTTCCCCGAGATGATTTTGGGTTCCCTGAGGTGATTTTGGGCTCCCTGAGGTGATTTCGGGTTCCCTGAGGTATTTTTGGGTTCCCTGAGGTGATTTTGGGTTCCCTGAGGTATTTTTGGGTTTCCTGAGGTGATTTCGTGTTCCCTGAGGTGATTTTGAGTTCCCTGAGGTATTTTTGGGTTCCCTGAGGTGATTTTGGGTTCCCCGAGGTGATTTCAGTGTCCCCGAGGTGGTTCCGGGGTCCCCGAGGTGGTTCCGGGCTCCCCGAGGTGGTTCCGGGCTCCCTGAGGTGATTTCGGGGTCCCCGAGGTGGTTCCGGGTTCCCCAAGGTGGTTCCAGGCTCCCCGAGGTGATTTCGGGGTCCCCGAGGTGATTTTGGGTTCCCCATGGTGATTTTGGGTTCCCCGAGGTGATTTCAGTGTCCCCAAGGTGGTTCCGGGTTCCCCAAGGTGGTTCCGGGTTCCCCAAGGTGGTTCCGGGTTCCCCAAGGTGGTTCCGGGTTCCCCAAGGTGGTTCCGGGTTCCCCAAGGTGGTTCCGGGTTCCCCAAGGTGGTTCCGGGTTCCCCAAGGTGGTTCCGGGTTCCCCAAGGTGGTTCCAGGCTCCCTGAGGTATTTTTGGGTTCCCCGAGGTGATTCCGGGGTCCCTGAGCTGATTCCGGGCTCCCCGAGGTGATTCCGGGCTCCCCGAGGTGATTCCGGGGTCCCTGAGCCCGCCCCGGGCCGCGTGTCCCCGCAGGTGCTGATCAGCATGGTGTACCTGCCCGAGGCCATGCCCGCCTCCTTCCAGGCCACCTACACGCCCGTGGAGTCGGCCGGCACCGAGGCGCAGATCAAGCACCTGGCGCGGCTGATGGCCACGCAGATGACCGCAGCTGGCCTGGGGCCAGGTCAGGGCACACCCCCGGCCACGGGCTTTGGGGTGGATTTGGGAGAAATCGGGGTTGGGGTGGGATTCACGGAGGTTGGGCGAGGTCGGTTGGGTGTTGGGGGTTCTCCTTATCGGGGGAATTCGGGGGTTTTGGCTCCAAGGAGGGGCGAAAAATTGGGGTGGGATGGGGGTTTGGGTGGAATCCAAGGTTGGAGTGTGGGTTGGGGGAGATTTTTGGGGGGGATTTGCCCAGGTTGGAGAAGTCTCGTTGGGTTTCGCCTGCCCCTCGTGAGTTCATGGGTGGCCAAAGCGTCGCCCTGGACCCCCACCCCATCCCCACCCCAATTTGACCATTCACACCCCATTTTGACCATCCTCACCCCATTCTGACCATCCCCACCCCAATTTGACCATCCCCACCCCATTTTGACCATCCCCACCCCATTTTGACCATCCTCACCCCATTTTTGACCATCCCCACCCCAATTTGACCATCCCCACCCCATTTTTGACCATCCCCACCCCATTTTTACCATCCCCCCCCCTTTTTTTTGACCATCCCCATCCCAATTTGGACCGTCCCCACCCATTTTGACCATCCCCACCCCATTTTTGGCCGTTCCCAGCCCATTTTTGACCGTCCCCACCTCATTTTGACCATCCCCACCCCATTTTTGACCATCCCCACCCCATTCTGACCATTCCCACCCCACTTTGACCATCCCCACCCCCCTTTGACCATCCCCATCCCAATTTGGACCGTCCCCACCCATTTTGACCATCCCCACCCCATTTTTGGCCGTTCCCAGCCCATTTTTGACCGTCCCCACCTCATTTTGACCATCCCCACCCCATTTTTGACCATCCCCACCCCATTCTGACCATTCCCACCCCACTTTGACCATCCCCACCCCCCTTTGACCATCCCCATCCCAATTTGGACCGTCCCCACCCATTTTGACCATCCCCACCCCATTTTTGGCCGTTCCCAGCCCATTTTTGACCGTCCCCACCTCATTTTGACCATCCCCACCCCATTTTTGACCATCCCCACCCCATTCTGACCATTCCCACCCCACTTTGACCATCCCCACCCCCCTTTGACCATCCCCATCCCAATTTGGACCGTCCCCACCCATTTTGACCATCCCCACCCCATTTTTGGCCGTTCCCAGCCCATTTTTGACCGTCCCCACCTCATTTTGACCATCCCCACCCCATTTTTGACCATCCCCACCCCATTCTGACCATTCCCACCCCACTTTGACCATCCCCACCCCACTTTGACCATCCCCATCCCAATTTGGACCGTCCCCACCCATTTTGACCATCCCCCCCCCATTTTTGGCCGTTCCCAGCCCATTTTTGACCGTCCCCACCTCATTTTGACCATCCCCACCCCATTTTTGACCATCCCCACCCCATTTTTGACCATCCCCACCCCATTTTTGACCATCCCCACCCCATTTTTGACCATCCCCACCCCATTTTTGGCCGTTCCCACCCCATTTTTGACCATCCCCACCCCATTTTTGACCATCCCCACCCCATTTTTGACCATCCCCACCCCATTTTTGACCATCCCCACCCCATTCTGACCATTCCCACCCCACTTTGACCATCCCCACCCCCCTTTGACCATCCCCATCCCAATTTGGACCGTCCCCACCCATTTTGACCATCCCCCCCCCATTTTTGGCCGTTCCCAGCCCATTTTTGACCGTCCCCACCTCATTTTGACCATCCCCACCCCATTTTTGACCATCCCCACCCCATTTTTGACCATCCCCACCCCATTTTTGGCCGTTCCCAGCCCATTTTTGACCGTTCCCAGCCCATTTTTTCCCTTGGCACCCCGCGGCAGGCGTGGAGCAGACCAAGCTGCTGCGGGAGGAGCCCAAGGAGGAGAAGGTGGCCAAGCCGGACGCCGTGGTCATCAAGCGGCGCCTGTCGGCGCTGGGCCAGGGCCAGGCCATCGCCGTGCTGGGCGCCCACGGCTCGGCCGCGGGGCTGCCGGACGAGACCCCCCAGGCCAAGCGCCGGCCCGAGCCCATCATGCCGGCCACGCAGCCCCGGTCAGTGCTGGGCTGGGGTCACCAGGGGCTTGGGGTGGGGTCCGCATGGGGTTTGGGGTGGGATCATGGTGGGGTTTGGGGTGGGGTCTTGGAGGGGTGGGATCTCCATGGGGTTTGGGGTGCGGTCCCGCTGGAATGTGGGGTGGGATCTCCATGGGGT